TGTTAGAAAGCTCTAAAAGCATGGTCCAGTTTAGGTTGCACATTTATTTTTAGGAGTGTATGAACGGCGTTTACCCTGCCTTTTTACCCTGTGTCTGCTGAGATAGGCTCCAGTCCCCAATGGCTGTTTTATGAGCAGTTAAGAAAATGGATGGATGGATTTATTCAACAGTCCAGCTGATAGATTTGTCACATTGCTTACTATGGCTTAATACACCCAAAACATAAATGGATAAATGGCTTGATGTGTTAACCTTTGTTGTCTAACCTCATGTATGAATTCCTGAGGAGAGTAATTCACTCAAAGCAAAGGGATACTCTGGGATTCAAGTTGAACTTTATCAAGACACTTTCTTCACTGTTCTGCTTCTGTCTTTTCTGGGATGACAAATTCTTTGTGAGCTTTGTGAGCTGCTGGTTTTCAGGACTGTCTGGAAGTCACAATAGAAGCAGCAGTGCGAATCCTTGCTGGGAGAGTATTCAAGAGTATAGCCCTCAAAAGGCATCCAGGGGTATGATAATGGACATGGTCTGATACTTGAGGGCAAAGATATACCTGATGAGGGGATGGGACTTTACCATGTGCTGATGAAGGTCGGTGATGGTAGGGATGATGTGCTGCCAGAGCTTGATTTGAGAAGAAAGGTTAAAGTTGAGGTAAATCAGGCCCGTACAGCATTGACAAAGTAGCTGACAGAAAGTCCTCAACCTCCGCATTTGTCTTTTTCACCTGTCAGACTCAAAGACTACGACAGGCACCAACTCGGCTGCTGAGGCTGCCAAGATCCTGGCAGAAAACCGTAGACTGATGCGAGAGCAGAAAGAGAGAGAGGAGAAGCTTAGGCTACAGAAGGAGGAAGAGGAGAGGTAAGATTGTTTGAGCTGCTGGAACTGTGTTCTTGTTTGTTCCATAAGTTATCATCATAACTTAATTTATGTTTTTATTGTGTGTTGTTTGTCTATATATGACAGAGAAACCTCATATATGACCACAGCGTAACAACAGTAGTTTGGAGCTGCTTGTATTTTACAGCCACATGTGCGATTTGCATTGTTTTAGCTAATGAAACAGGCTGAGGCATACTGGTAATGAATACGAATAATTTTCATTTGTCAGGATACGTTAAATTAAGAGGTGCCATTTTTGACTGTCTTAGGTTAAGAAAAGAAGAAGAGGCACGTTTAGCAGAAGAGGCTCGATTGAAACGTCTGGAGGAGGAAAAGCAGCTTGCAGAGGAGAGAAAACTTAGGGAAGAGGAAGAGGCTCGCCTAGCAGAGGAGGAACGGATTAGGCTGGCAGAGGAGGAAGCACAAAGGCAGGCTGAGCTCCAAAGGGAACGCGAGGAGGCCGAAGCCAAAGCCCAGGAGGAGGCAGAAAGAGTTCGTCAGGAGAGAGACCGCATTATGCAGCAGAACCAACAGGAACGTATGGAGAGGAAGAAGGTATGATGGGTGCATCGACTTTTTTTATTTTTGTTTTGGGCCTCGATTCATCAACGTGTCATTAAATAATTTTGTTTTGACAAGAAGTTACATCGAGAGTCAGTTTTTTAACCATCAGTCTCTCTCCTTTACCCAAGAGTCCAGATCACATTGGTAAAGTAATTACTAGAAATTAATTTCTAACTTCTTTCTGTTACAGAGAATTGAAGAAATAATGAAGAGAACTAGAAAAGGGGACCAAAATGATTTAAAGGTGAGCTCACATTCAGTCAACCCATTTGGTCGTATTTGTGATTTTTGGAGAATTCCTTCACAATCAAGGTCTGTTAACATTTGTCTCCTGTGTAGAGAGATGATGATAAATGCACACAGGAGAATGAAGATGAGGAAATGGACCAGATACACTGTGAGACTAAAAGTAAGAGTTCTCCAGGCTTTTTCAGCTAA